TTTAGATGAGCATGCATCAGGAGATTTCAAAAGAGAAAGAGAGTTAAACACACAATCAACAGGAAAATTATCAGATTCAGAATTTGGATTTTTAGCTTTGACAAAAATTCTGGATTTAAGAGGTTCTCCATTATCATTAGATCTAGAAGAAAGTGATCCAACAGAATCAGATAAATGAGAAGAAGATAAGGAAGAGTGAATGTGAGAAGAAGTGCACATAGAGTCATTAGAAGCACACAGATCCATATCATTATAACCTAGACCAATGTTTATTTCACTTGGTAGTTGATCATGTAAGATTTTATCTAAGTTCTTGGATGATCTAGCCCATTTATGAAGAATGGCTTTTTCTTTCTCAAGCTTCTGGTAGACTTTGGTTATTTCTTTGTTAAGAACATTGTTAATTAACTTTTGTTCTTTGAGGTCATTTTTCAAATTATCAAAGTCTTTCAGTTGATTCATGCATTTCTGTAACTGACTAGTTAGACTTTTAATTTGCAGGACAACTTTCTTTTTAGCAGATCTAGAATTGTAAAGATCAACAGATAAGGAATCAAAAGATTGAACCTTTTCAGATTCAGAAAGAGGAGAAATTGTTTGCCTTCTTTGGTTGACCGGATCTTTGGCTTTCTTGGAGGTAGAAGGTACATCAGCAGCAGCAGTAGAGGTGGATCCCTTGTCAGAGTCTTCTATCTCTCGTATTTTGGCCATAAGGAACATATGTGCATGTCGTCATCACTGAACCTCAGCCATGAGACCCTGACCATTTCTCTGAAAGATCTGGTTCTTTGCCTTTTCTATCTTGTACTTTTTTTTGTACTTGTCATGAGAGGATTGGCTTGTGAGTTGAGAAGTATGATGCTTAGAGATCTTTTTGTTTTTGCACTCAGCAGCAAAATGACCCTTTCTTGCCACAGTTGAAACACTCCTCATTGGACAGATCAAGAGGAGATGACTTAGGTTGATCTAAGGTTCTACGTTGTTGACCTTAGATCTCAGATAGAACTTAGAAAAACCCTTTTTGGCGTACCTTTTGAAGTTGGTACCATTATGGCCATTTTTTAAATATAAGTCATTAAATGTGGGTTCATCACCCTCATCATCAGCATAGCTTTCAACAATTTTTTCTTTTCTGGCAGCATCTTCATCAGATTCAGTCAGATAAGTGATATGAGGTTCACTGACTGGCTTCCTCGTATCATTGCAGAGAAGGGCAACAAGAGTACTTTTGGGATCTTTTAATAATGTCTTTTTCATAAGCTTGGTTTGCTCATAATTATAGAGAGTTCCATAAAGAGCAGTAAGAGGCATATTTTCAAGATCTTTGCTTGTCTTGATACAAGTACATATGTTTTCCCAGAAATATGGTAAACAATCCATGAACTTGCATATGACTTCTTCATTTTCATAGACTGCCATAAAGCTTCAGATCGTTGAGGAGATTGTTAAACCTGTTGTAGTACTCATTGAGAGATTCACCTTTCTCATGCACAAAGAGCTCATATTGCCTAACGAGACCAATCTTCTTGCTTTTCTTGACTTCAATGGTTTCATAATACAGAACACAGAGAGTGTTCCACATGTCTTTAGCAGTAGAGAGGTTCACTAAGGAGTGGAAAACATCATCGGGAAGAGATAGGGCAATGATAGCCCTTACCTTAGTATCCAAGAAAACTTTCCTTTTGTCATCTTCATTGTACTGTGAAGGATCTTTGATGATGAAACTCCCAATAGAGTCAGATTTTTTTCATCATCATCAGAATCATTTGAAGAGTCATCTTCATCTTTGTTCTTTCCATGACGAAGTCATACTTTTGGAACAATAGGTCCATCTTTGAGGATAAAGAGATATTGACTATCAACACCTTCAAAGAAGAGTGTCATGCAACTTTTCCAAATAGGAAAGTTGTTTTTGTTGAACTTAGGAGGCTTGGCAATAGTGACATTGTCATGGTAAGAAGAAGGAGCAAATTTGGAAGGAGAAGAGGCCATTGCAGATCTAGCTTATGAGATTAAGCTAACTGCTCCTATACCACTTGTTGGTCCGGAAAGGGATGACAAAAAACAGAAAGTAATTGTAGAAGGAAGGGTTGAATACAATTACAAAGATTTTTTCACCTTTTAATTCTTATTGATGTATATCAAGAATTAACACACAGGGATACAAAAGATTGTTACGGAAGATAAGAAAGGATAACCTAACCTAAACAATCTTACAAGGAGAAGAACTTACAAGAACAACAGATGGAGTACTTGAAAGAAAATTAAGAACACACTAAGTTTTTCTTCAAACACAGGAGAGTACGAGAGTAGAAGAGGATAGCTGGTTGCCTTAAGAATGCACTTAGAAAACTTTCAAAAAGTCGGTCTGCATGGGAGTTGCACACTGCCTTTTATACTACCTTTAGCATTAAATGCATGGAGACACTTGTCACCTAAGTATAAGGAGGCAGAGGTTTACTTGACCATTGTTGATATCTCATTTTCATCGTACACAACATGCATACAAAACTGTTCATGCATAGACAAACTTTTATAGATATATGGTCAGTCTGTAGGAAGATCTTCTTTGGATGGATTAGTAGCTTGAAACAACTACTCACAAATATTTGGTTCATGAAGATCTTTCTTCAATCTTCGGTCCATGAAGATCTTCAATCTTTGGTCCATGAAGATCTTCACTATTCGGTCCATGAAGATCTTCCTTCAATCGGATTCTAGCTTCAGAAAATATTTTCAATCTTCATTTCAGCTACTCTGGAATCTTGGTGTGTATATTAGAGAGTTGATCCACAGTACCGCATTGGTGGCCTTCTGTCTTCACATCAACTAGTTTTCAATTTTGTCAATGGCTTTAAGTATGTAACAAGATACCAATATACAAAGAAACCAATAACTACTAAATGCTTCTAGGGTAAAGGAACAAATCAATGGGTCATCACCAAATCAATAAGTGACCCAACAAGTTGGTTCCTGATAAAGCACAAATAACCCAAGAACAAATGAACTAAAGTTCTATATCAAGATTCTAAGCGGAATAACGATCCAATAAAATAAAAAATAAAGCATAAGTAAGAGATACACCGAGATTTTTATGTGGAAACCTGGAAAGGGAAAAAGCATGGGTGGAGGATGAGGAGAACTAATCTACTATTATTTTGATGATGTAACATTTGAGAGATTACAACCTTTACAACGGAGAAATCAAAAAGTTCTTGAAAACTTGGGGAGCAAGTTTTAGAGAGAGAAACATAAAGGGTTTTTATTCTTAAAAGGATAAGCTAAAAATCAGCTCTTATATTAAGAAAAGAGCAGCAGGTGGTTAGCACAACTCACATACACCAAGTAAGATGGGAACTATTTAGGTGTTCGATAGAAAACATATGGGTGGCATTCCATGCAGGAAAAAGCTATAGGAGAAGTCGCAGGAGCCACTATCTAGTTCATGCTTCCAGGAGCTAGAGTGATAATTTGAGCGACATAAACCACATATGAAGGTCGCCCTGATTCATCCAAGGCTTGAGCGACTCCAATCGTAGATGAGGCCTCCCATATCTAAGGTTGAAGGCAACATCTTACACTTTGATAAATATACTTATTGACAATATACATACTTTGATGAAATTTATATAGTGTATATTTACCAATAAATAAACACTATAAAATCAATTCCCTGGTTCTTAAATCATTTCCAGTATTCACATTTATGAACCCCCTACACACACACACAGACACACACACACATATATATATATATATATATATATGGGCTCCTTTATTTGTTAACCTTTTTTTTATGTTAACAAAAAAAAACCACTCTAGCGATCAAATTGTTAGATCAATGGTTTAAATTGATTTTGTTAATTTTAGTATTAAAAGTAATTGAAGCAATTAGTAAGGAAGATGAATCACATGATTAGGGGTAAATTCGGTATAAAGCAAATAAAAGAAACTTACCATCATCTTCTTCCCTACAATTACTCTTCAGTTACGTCATAGATGGGCAAGGATGGGCAGTGAAAAAAGTGAGCATATCCATGAACATTGTTAACAATTATGAATCCCAATAAGTGAACAAATCCATGAACATTTTAAACAGTCGTGAATGGCTATAAATGTATATGGGCAAGGATGGGTGGTGAGAACAGTGAACATATCCATGAAGATAGCTAACAATTAAGAATCCAATAAGTGAACATATCCATGAACATTTTTAACGTTTGCCATGTTAGTTCCCAATTTCCTTGTTCATTAACACTTACGTTTACACCAAATGACTAGCCATTTCGAACATGTTAAAAATGAACACGATGGAAGACATAATAAGATGTTGATTACGTCTGGAGGAATTAAATATTTGAAAAGAGTCAAATTTTAGAAACAATGTAACTCTCATATTATGTCAACATATTCTTAATAGTTTGTCTCCATTTATTGAATATTTAATAACCTATTAACCATGAACCAATATCGGTTTCTATTGAACCATTTTGGTTTGTATAGTTAACACAAAAAAACAAGGTTAACAAAAGATGACACCTATATATATATATATATAGGGTTGGGTTCACGTGAGACTAGATTGTTTTCGTGAGACCCGTAAGACCACTTTTTACACTTGAAATTTCACAGCAAAACACTAAATCAATATATATATATATATATATATATACACACACACATACATATATATATATATACTAGTGGTGTACACGCGCGATGCAGCGCGGGTAAATCACAATTCGAAAACATTAGTTTGGCTTTGAATCATGAGTTTATGTGGTTATTTTACAAGTCAACTAATATATAAAGTTGAAGGTCAATTTTGTTTGTTAGCAAGATCGAATGAAAAGAAAATTGCACATATGTCAGGTTTCTGAAACCATCTACTTAGAGCTTATTACAAAACTTGAAATTCTTGAATGAACAAAGAAATACAATCGTTCGTAAAATAATGTTCATCTGTATATTGGAACTGTTGTTTGCTTTTCGTGATGCACTCATCCGTAAATATTTTCTGCAAAAAAACGGCGCAATGGTTTTAATAGAAACATATGGTACAAAATGTGTAATAATATAATTGTTGATTATACCTTATTCATCACGTAAAACTTCTTGATAGACGACGTTTGAGGTGTAGACTCCGGCACGATTGAATTTTTTAACAKGCTTCACTAACACCTTCGTATTCCCCCGTGATATCCCTCTGGACAACGCCACGTAAAGTTGCCCATGTGAGAAAACTGATTCTGGTAGATAAACACCTACATTYRGAATTGTTTGCCCTTGAGCTTTATTGATTGTCATAGAAAAGCTAAGCCGAATTGGAAACTGTTTTCTCTTCAGCTTAAACGGGAACATGTTGTCTTYGGACGGACATAAGGRAATTCTCGGAAGAAATACTCTCTTTCCAGCATGCTGACCAACAGCTATTTCTGCATCGATGACGTTCTGTTGAAAGCCTCTGCATATCAATCTACTGCCATTACACAATCCATTTGAGGGATCGATATTTTGTAACAGTATTATTGGGCATCCAATCTTGAGACGAAGGTAATGAGGAGGCAAACCACTAASAGTTAAAGAATTTAAGAACTCCATCGGATAGATGTTGTTCTTATCATCTTCTGCTTCGTCGAAGCTGTAGTATATTTTTTCATCTCCAGAAAACTTGTCGATCAACTGATCATTAATCTCGTCGATATTCTCGTTTTTAGTTGACAATATTGCCCTCGAAATGATATAATCTGAATCAGCTCCGTTGATTTGCAGAGATGGAAAGAATGCGTCAATCAGCGCATCTTTTGACTTACCTTTATCAGAATAGGGAATGGTCATGTCATCCGGTATGCGAATAAAGCTTTCGTCCACCGCTTCTTCATCTCCATCACCGACTCTTAATAAAAATTCCGAAAACCATGGATTAGTGCGTGCTCTCATATTGAGCGTTAGGGGTATCTTTTTAATCGTTGCCCAAAGAGGTTACATCCGCAAGCTAGAATCTACAATCTATGCTCGGGTTCCACGCCTCACGACCGGTAAGACTTGTCTAAAATCACCCCCCAAAACCATTATCTTTCCGCCGAATGGGAGTGCCACCCCTATGATGTCTTGCATTGTTMGATCGAGCGCCTCCACTGCTTGCCTCTTTGCCATCGACGCTTCRTCCCAGATGATTATTTTTGCATCTCGAATCAATTTAGCAGCCCCGCTTTGTTTTCGTATGTTGCACATTGA